CAGGGGATAATAGCCCTTCCCTGTCTCATAGGGGTGTGGTCAGGGCCAGTCTTATGGTGGGTGATGTGGGCAACTGCCCAGGGCGCCGTGGTCGGGGGGCGGGGGGGAGCGCTGTCCAAGTGCTGCAAGCTAGCTGACCTGGGCCACCAGAGTGAGGGTGAGTGCTGGTGAGCCCAGGGCTGGAGCCCCTGGCCAGGTGTGGGGGGGGGCAGATGATGCCGCCCAGAGCTGCCAGCCTGGTGAGGAAGGGCAGACACTAGGGCTTGCCCCAGCAGAGCCAGCAGGCCAGCTGCAGGATCCCCCCTTCCTGCGGGCATGGGCGGTAGCTGCACACCCTCTCTCCTCCTGCTAGGTGATCAGGGGCTGTGTGGCCAGGGGAGTCAAGGCTCCCTCTGCAGCTCTGCCAGTCTCTGGGGCCAGGAACTGCCCCACGCTGCTGTTCGCACTCAAAGAAGGTGCCAAAATACACATTCGCCCAGGGCGCCATTTCCCTAAGGCCAGCCCTGGGTGTGGTGAGGGTGAATACATTAAAGGCTGTGAGGTGCTCAGATACGCTGGAGATAGATATAGCCCTCATTCTGCTCTCACACCAAGGCTGTCTCCTGATTCACCTCCTGTGACCAAGGAAACAGTCCAGCCCCTGGCATAACAGCAGCTGTATGGCACAGAATCCAGTTTAAAAAAAGTCATCATATCATCCTTATCAGTGAAGCTAAAACATGCTTCACAGAATTGCCATAAGGTGCTGCAACCTATTGTCCCCAGTACAAATGAAGTGGAAAACAACAATGAAGGCATGAGTCATCTCGCAAGGGGAGACCGCTGGGTGCAGCGGAAACAGGAGGTGACTTGGCTCCCCCAGGCATAGTTGGCTATCCCAATGGAGTTTCTCAATCATGGAAAGTCCTCTCCCTTCCCTGAGCCTGAACAGTGGCCAGCCATCAGCCTGCGGTCTCAGACTCTCCCACTTAGTGATGCTCCTGTGGAAGGATCGAGATGTCTAGCCATTGGCTTTGCAATAACAACCATGACACTCCCTTGGGCAAATTCCTCATTTTCAGTTGTGGTGGGATGTAGTTTGGACCTGGTGCAGGACTAGAAATCTAGAGACCTGGGTTTGATTCCTGGGTCTCTTCCTGACTTGCTATGTGACCTGAGCCAGGTCACTTGTGACCCAACCCCGTCAAAGTTCTCACTGACCCTCAGTTTCCTGATCTGAAAAATGGGAATGGTAACAATAACCATTTATATAGAGCACTGAGGTCAGTGGGATTTGAGAGGTCTCAACTGCTTGACGGATTAGGCCCTGAGAGATCTATGGCCAAACAGCCCTGTGTAAGAGCTAAGCACTATTATTATTATTGGCACGATAAGGCATTTGAGCATTGCCACGGTGAATGTATCAAGAATCTGGGAGTCGCAAGGATTTCTGCTTTCTGGCATGGATTGTTTCTGATTTTCTGCCTTTGCTTTTGAGGCAAATTATGGCTAATTTTAAGGAGTAAAAGTTACATATCAGTGTTTACAGAATTGTTTCTCTTAAATTATCCAGACAGCTGGCCCCATCCAAAGGCTGGGAATGAGCTCCTTGCAACACTAAAGGGTTCTTGAGGGCACATCCCTCCACAAACAATTTTTCATGCTGCAAAAATGGTAACGATTGGTCCATTTTGTTAAAAACTAGTCTCCAGTCTTTGCTCCGTTAGAGTATTATCACGGGAAGGGGCTGTTTGTCAGGGGGAAAGCTTCGTTGAATTGTATGGAGCACAAAAACGTAAGAATACACCACCAAGTACTATCGAGCTGCATAATGAAGCAGGAGTTCTTCCATGACAACGTGCAGTATCCCAGTGGAGTAGGAGAAAGAGGTATTGGGGCACCAGCACACAGCATGGGACAGACAAGCACCTGGTGGCAAGTGAGGCGTGGGGTCCAAATGCAGAGGAGCTTGCCAGGTCTGAAGACACAATGACCCTGATTCCTGTTGCCTTGCCCTGCTCCCTGTGCCACCACTGAGATCCATGCAAAGTGCATGGGAAATGTCCTCTGAGCAGGGTTCTGCTCACACCAATGGTGGCATTTCACCTGCTGTATGCAGGTGTGGAACAGGGTAGCCAGCCAATCCTGGTCATGAATTCGATGTGGGTGAGGCGGAGATAGCTGTTTTCCATAAAAAGCCAGGCTATGGGTAAGGAAGGAGGAGCAGGGGTAAGTCTCAGTCCCCTGGGAAGGGAGGCAATAGGAATCAGCTGGGGGGAAAGGCCTCAAGGCAGCAAGCCCTGGGAGGTGGTGTTCACCAAAAAGGTGGCTTGGTGCTCAGGACAAGGAAGAATCCTGCCAAAGGCCCTGAGGCAGGCGGGACCAAGAGAGGCGAAGGGGAACACCCCTGGGGAGCTGTAGCCCAAGGTGGGCTCAGGAATTGTATTATGCCATTTGCCTATGTTTGGAAAATAAAGCTGTGCCTGGGAAGAGACTCTGAGCCTGACTATGGGTCCTTTGTGGGCTGGGAACAAGCCAGCCCCTTCCAAGGTGTAAATAGTGACGGGGAATCAGGCCTGACAGGTGATGACAAGCCCTAGGCACAGGCAGAGGTGCTGGAACTAGGAGCACACCCTGGCTTGAAGTGGTTTCCATCACATACAGGGGTTACAGTGTGGTTCAATGGCTCTCAGCACCTCCCATACGCCACTGGGCTAGGGTGACCAGACGTCCCGATATTATCAGGACAGTCCCGATTTTAGGGGACTTGTCCTGTGTCCCGACCTTACATCGGTCGGGACGCACTTTGTCCCAATATCGGGGGACCGTCTGGTGGAGGACGCAAGCCGGCGCTGCCGGCGCCGCTCACCTCTTCTTCCTGGGCCATGGGGCAGTTCAGCTGAACTCCCAGCGCCTGCCTGCCCGCTGGCCGGCAGGAGCCTGCAGAGTGCTGCAGCCCCACTCCCCAGGCACACACAGAGGCAGCGAGGAGGTCTCCACTGTGTGCTGCAGGGGCAGGGCTTGTAGGCGCCGTCAGCCGTCAGAGAGCCCCCTCACCCCTGCCCCCGACCCCCTCGACCCGACCCGACACGCGTGACCTTAGGAGCCAGAGGGATGGGACCTGCCTGCTGGATGCTTCCTGGGAGCCACTCCAGGTAAGACTAGCACTGCTGGGACTCACCTGGCCCCCTGGCAGGTCCCTCTGGCTGGGGGGAGAGGGAGGGCTCTGCGTGCTGCCCCCCTCCTTCCTTGAGGGGGGAGGTGGAGATGGAGCAGAGGCAAGCTGGTGTGAGGGGGAGGCGGGGCGTGGAGCTGCCAGTGAGTTCTCAGCCCCCACCAATTTTTCCTGTGCTCCGGCGGGTTTTTTTGTTTTGCTCCGCGCCCTCACCCCCCACCCCCCCGGGTCCCGATATTTGACCTCTGTCATCTGGTCACCCTACACTGGGCGAATTTCCCAGCAGCACCAGCACTGTCTCCACGTGTGGCTCTGATCCAGGATAGGGTTGCCAGGCATCTGGTTTACGACTGGAACGCCCAGTCAAAAAAGGGATGCTAGTGGCTCCGCCGGCACTGCCGAACAGGCTGTTAAAATCCGGTCAGCGGTGCAGCAGGGGCCCAGGGCTAAGGCAGGCTCCCGGCCTGCCCTAGCTGCGCGCAGCTTCCGGAAGCGGCCACCAGTTCCATGCAGCGCCTAGGTGCATGGACGACCAGGGAGGCTACGTGTGCTGCCATCGCCCCGATTACCGGCTACGCAGCTCCCATTGGGGGGGCAGCACCTGTGGGCGTGAGGTGAGCGCATGGAACCTCCCTGGCGCTCCATGTGCCTAGGGGCTGCAAGGACCTGGTGGCTGCTTCCTCGGAGTCACGGTAAGTGCCGCCGGGACCCCGGACCCCAACCCCCCTCCTGCACCCCAACCCCCTGTCCCAGCCCAGAGTCCCCTCCCACACTCAAACGCCCTCCCGGAGGCTGCACCCCACACACACACACACAGAACCCCAACCCCCTGCCCCAGCCCTGAGCCCTCTCCTGCACCCAAAAACCCCAGAGCCCACACCCCCAGCCGGAGGTAAGGTTGCCAACCCTCCCAGTTTGGCCGAGAGTCTCACAGAATTGGGCTTGATCTCCCGGAGGCTACTGAAGCCAATCCAGGAGATTGTAGGCCTCTTACAATCTGTGGTCCAGCAGAGCTATGGCAGGCTCCCTACCTGCCCTGGCTCCGCGCCGCTCCCGGAAGTGGCTGGCATATCCGGCAGTGACCCCTAGGTGCCGGATATGCCACCAGGGGGGTCTCTGTGCACTGTCCCCGCCCCGAGCGCCGACTCCACAGCTCCCATTGGCTGGGAATGGAGAATCGTGGCCAATGGAAGCTGTGGGGTGGTGCCTGCAGGCAGGGAAAGCATGCAGAGCCGCCTAGCAGCCCGTGAATTCAGGAGCTGCTGCTGGACCTTGCCTCTGCTTCTGGGAGCCACCCAAGATAAGCACTGCCCGGCCAGAGCCTGCACCCAACCTGCTGCCCCAGCCCCCTCCCACACCCCAACTCCCAGCCTTGAGCCCTCTCCTGCACCCAAACTCTCTGCCAGAGCCTGCACCCCAAACCCCTGCCCCAGCCCCCTCCCGCACCCCACCCCCTTCCCCCAGGCTCAGCCCGGAGCCCCCTCCCACATGCCGAACCCTTCGGCCCCAGCCCAGTGAAAGTGAGGGTGGGGGAAAGCGAGCCAGGGAGGGAGGGGGCGGGGCCTTGGGGAAGGGGCAGGTTCAGTTTTGTGCCATTAGAAAGTTGGCATCTCTAATCCAGGAGCAGGCTCCTAACTTTTGCCTCCGCCAGGCAGTTTCTGCAGCTGCCTCCTGGGCTCAGGAGCAGCAGAGGTTTGTCCGAGCACATCCTCCACCTTGCCAGGGCCACCTAGAACGGGTTAAGGCCAAGCGAGGAAGTCCAGCCCTCCCGCTTCCTGATTGGCTCCTGTGGCTCAGGTACATCCTTCGGCAGCGGCGCCATAGGTCAGAGCCGCTGCCTCTCCGGCTCTACGAGCCAGGCTCCTGGGGCTGCGCGCTTCGCTGCAGGAGTGGCCGCGTCCGAAGGGGATCGCGCCGAGCCTTCGCCCCTTCTAGCGCGGAGCCGAGCCGAGCCGAGCCCTCCGCCGCTGGGGCGTAGCGGGAAGAGAGCGGCTGCAGGCTCCGACATGGTGAGTGGCAGCGCCTGGGCTGTGCTCGAGCAGGCTCTGCTTTCACTCGGTTACTGGCAGTGCTGGGCTGGGGACACTCGCACAAACAGACCCGCGCCGTGGGAAATGTTCCAAGGCAGGACGGCGTCCCCTCTGGCCTGGGTGTGGGGATTCAATGGGCTGTGTGGGAGGAGGGCAAGGGCGCCTGGGAACAGGCACGAAAGAACTGAAGTAATTCTGTGCCTCTGTGCTACACAAAAGGGGTGTGGATGTGTAGAGGAGGGAGTGACTGGGAACAGATGACAGAGCATGGACAGATTCCCATGTGATAAGAACATCTAGAGGCCAAGAAACTTCTGGTGGCGGCGGGTCCAAAGTAGCAAATGGGATCTAGGGCGAGGTGACCCCGTTTGGGAACGGGAGTGAATGAAGAGAAAGTGACCACTAAGGCAACCTGACGGAGTGTCTGGATCGCATGGTGAGGGGTGCATTGGGAATATCTGGAGAGACAGATAGTCTGGCCAGTATCTGTGCCACTTGGGAGCCTGAATAGCCTGTTTTGCATGGAGGTGCTCTCCATCATCTAGGAGCTTCCCATGTATCCCACCATAAACCCCACCCTCCATGTTATAGCCACCTGTAATGTCTTGGCTGGACTCCTCTGTTCCAGATTCCTGAGCAGGACTTTGAAATAAACAATGAGGATTCGGCCCTTCAAGGAATCGGGCTCAGGTTTTACACTGAGCCCAGAGCAGGCCAAATCAGGGCCCTGAGAGTAAAGTCAGTGCTGTGAGGCTGCCCATGTGCACAGAGATGATAGGAAAGTGCGAAATCTTAGTGTCTTGGATTAAGGAGAGGGACACGCACAAAGCCACCAACCTTCCAGAACAGGCTGGACTGGGGCTGGCTGGATGGCTCACCTCACCCAGACCTGAACTCAGCGCAGCCTACCCAGAAGCTCTCCGATGGGGAGCAAGTGTTCAGCATCATCATTTGGCAACCACGCCAACTCTAAAACTGATGAGTGGCAGCAGGGGACTAAGCTGAGGAGCCACAGCCTCTGAATCAGAGAAGAGCGGGAAATACCTAGACTAGTTACAGAATGATGGTCTATTAAGGTCTGTGTTGGACTAGAAAGCTATCACTTTAAGAATGTGGGGAAGCGGGAGGGGTTGGGGTTCTGGTCCTGTTTGTAGGCTAGGGAACTCTGTGGAGAAGTGTCTGGGAGCACTGCAGCAGTCAGTCTGCAAAAAGCCAGCCTGGAAAAAGGTGGGATGAGTTGTTCCTTGGTCCCTTAGGGAGCAGTCTATATTCTCTCTCTCTGTTTTGGGTTCTTGATTGTTGTTGTTCTGAATTGTAAGAAATACAGTAGTGTTATAATACTTTTACTAGAAGGTTGCAACATATGTTTTTATCTAACTTCTCTGTATGTATGTGCACCATGGAACATAACAAGAATCACTAAAGGGGTAGGACCTAACTAATCAGACATTGGGGAGGAATTAACAAGAGGCAGTTAACTGGGGGGCAGTGGACATATGTGCTGTTTCAACTTAATACATTAGCCTACCCGATAGAGGGGGGTGTGGTACACTGAAGGCCTCTGAGAGCAAAGGTATTCTTCCCTCCCCCTGGGGAACGATTTTCTTGTAAGTGTGAATTTCACTCCAATCATGAGGCTTGCAGTGTGCAGCCTGAACGGCCCTGAGACTTTCCTTCACTGTCAAAGAGCTATATTCTGTTGGCCTTGGTCACCACCTGTGTAATGCCTACCCACTTGGTGTGATTCTCTAGTGGTGACTGGGTCCTGGGGAGAGGTTGATAAGTCTGCTGCAGCGGTAGTTAGCAGAGCCAGATCTGGCTCTGGCAGCAGAGGCTTATGCTTTTAGATTCAGAGGTCCCCCAGGTTCAGTCCGTGTTACAGGTGTGATGTTTATTCAAGCAAAGCTCTATCTGATGCTGATGGGAGTCTGGCCTAGTCAGGAACTGCGTCAGGATCTCAGGTTTTAGCCCTTCGAAGCAGATTGTGTGTGTGTGTGTAGATTCTCCATCAGGTAAGGTGTTTGCATGGCCCTTATCACTGAAACATCTGAGTGCCTCTGTAACATGCAAGCATAGAAGCTACTTGTCCAAATGATCTGGCTGGGCCAGAGGGAATGTGTAAAGTGAAAACAGCAGAGGCTGAGGGAAGGCGTCCAGCAGTGAGCTCCAAAGGAATAAGCAGGTGACTGGTGATGCAGTTTGTTGACACACCCCTTGATAGCCCTTCTAAGCTACAAACATTTAAGATTAGGCAATAGGGATTTTGATAGCCAAGTTTATGAATCTGCCAGCAGCTATTTGGTCTGAACAAATAACCCATCCCGGGTTGTGGTGGGGGACGATCTGCACCCTGCAGAAGAGCTACGTTAACTGAGGGCAGCTGGAAGTCGCTACATTTTTCTGAATCCCATTAGCTTAATGTTTGACAGTGCTTGTGTTGATGGAAAGGTTCAGCAGATGGCAACTTAAATGGGGCAGGGACTAGAGGGCGAGTCATAGCTAAAGAGTCACACCGCTCTGGGCCCTTTGGGAGAGAAGATTTGGGAGGTTCATTAGATAGGAAGAAGAGATGATTAAGCCAAGGCTACCAGAGTCTAGATCAAACGGAAGACTAAAGGCACAAATCTATAAACCAAGAACAGTTTTGGGCACTAAAGAAATCAAGGTGGTATTTGCTTTACACTGTTATTAGAATCATAGAATATCAGGGTTGGAAGGGACCTCAGGAGGTCATCTAGTCCAACCCCCTGCTCAAAGCAGGACCAATTCCCAACTAAATCATCCCAGCCAGGGCTTTGTCAAGCTGGGCCTTAAAAACCTCCAAGGAAGGAGACTCCACCACCTCCCTAGGTAACGCATTCCAGTGCTTCACCACCCTCCTAGTGAAATAGTGTTTCCTAATATCCAACCTAGACCTCCCCCACTGCAACTTGAGACCATTGCTCCTTGTTCTGTCATCTGCCACCACTGAGAACAGCCGAGCTCCATCTTCTTTGGAACCCCCCTTCAGGTAGTTGAAAGCAGCTATCAAATCCCCCCTCATTCTTCTCTTCTGGAGACTAAACAATCCCAGTTCCCTCAGCCTCTCCTCATAAGTCATGTGCTCCAGACCCCTAATCATTTTTGTTGCCCTCCGCTGGAATCTTTCCAATTTTTCCACATCCTTCTTGTAGTGAGGGGCCCAAAACTGGACACAGTACTCCAGATGAGGCCTCACCAATGTCGAATAATAGTCCCCTATTTATTGATCTTTCATCAGTGGCTCTCAAAGTGCTCTTCAAACATTAATAATTTAAGCCTCACAATGCACCTTCCCCCAAACTCGTACAGATGAGTAAACTGAGGCACTGAGCAGTTAAGTGATTTGCCAAAGTTCACGCAGCAACTCAGTGACAGGGCCAAGAATGGAACCCAGCAGTCCTGACTCCCCTGTTGCCCATTCTAACCATTGGATCACACTCCCTCTTCCACTTTGTTGGGGAGACGGCGATCTTTTAAGATCCAAGCTTCTGCTGGTAGCTCAGCAGGAACATAGTGGGTACAAGAGGAAGCAATATTTGCCCTCCCTCTCTGCTAAGGAAGCTGAAGCAGGATCTGAAGCATTTAAGTGGCTTATTTGGAATAAGCTTCACAAAGCAACAATCAAGGCTGATTTGACAAGCATTTGGAGGATGAGAAAGCCAAGGCCCTAATAGCTCATTTGGACAATGGGGGTGGAGTCGGCTGGGCTTCATGGCTCCCTCAGGCCCGTGCTTCCAGTTGATAATTAAATTGCTCATGTTTCCCAGCAGAACCAGGGCGGGACAGGCTGTTCCAACATTAGCAAACTCCCGATAAATGACATTTGCATATTGTTTCATAAGCTGGGCTGATGTGTGTCAGGGCCCCCACAAACGAGAAGCCATGGGGATTATCAGACTTTTTAGGACTCGGTGTTTAGCAAAACAGCCAGGACTCTTAGGACTTTAAAAAGCTAACTGTAACTATGTTTTAATTGCCAGCAGCCTCTCCTTCCCACCCCTGTGCTAAGTAGAGAAGGAAACTTGGATGCTGGGGGCCTGAGTCTGCTTTCACTTCCACTGGTGCAAGTGCAGAGCAGCTCCAGTGAAATCAATGGACTAACTCTGATGTGAGGTCAGAAACAGGCCCACTGTTCTGTGGCATCTGTTACGCTCTCATGGGATGGGGACTGGGCTTTCTCTGGTCCCATGGACTCTCCAATGGAATGTTTGTCCAGCAGAAATGTTTATTCTTGGCCTTTGATGTTCTAGTTCATACCTGCTTAACTTGGTTCCATAGTCCATTCCTTTACTAAATCAGTGGCTTCAAACAACAGACACCGATCACTAGCTAACTGGGACATATACAGCAGCATACGTAGAACTCAGAGGCTTTTCTTCCAAAGCACAAACCCTGGCACTTATGCTAAAGGAGATTTTATTTGAGCGGTGGTAATATTACGGTATATAGATTGTGGGTTGCAGCCACTAGGAGGCAACATAGGCTCACACTTAAGCAGGATCTGAGCACCCCACTCCAGTTTGGGTGCCACAAACCTGTTTCCCCAGTGAATGAAGGAAAATGAGTTATGTGAGGCTGTCAACTTCTCCCCATCCTGGATTACTTATCAGCTCTTTGCTCAGCCAGAGCAAGCCCACTAAAGGAGAGAGGATTTCAGTGCAGTACTTCCATTTAAATATAGCATCCTTTGTTAGTGCAGGGCTAATGGTAAACGGAAGGGAAAAGGACGGGTTCTGGTTAGATTTTAAAAAGAGAAGTGAATGGCTAGGAGGAAGGGCAAGTGCAGGGTTGGAGAAGATTTGGGAGGTTCATGAGATAGTAAGAAGAGATGATTAAGCCAAGGCTACCAGAGCCTAGATCAAACAGAAGATTAAAGGCACAAATCTATAAACCAAGAATAGTTTTGGGCACTAAAGAAATCAAGGTGGTATTTGCTTTACACTGTTATTACGGTACAA